GGCGATGCTGCTCATGGTGATGACTGTGAGGATACACATCTCAAAGTACCGTAGGTTCACCACATAATGACACAGCCGTCTCACTCTGTAGAGACAACATGAAGAAACAACACTTATTCACAATATTTAGCAGGTACGTTACAACTAAATGCTAATTCTGAGCAAATTGAGGCAAGTAATATATGTGATACATATTTAAAATCTCTCCTCAAGAGTTTTCTGCAACATAATAATGCAACATAATAATTGGGGTTTAACTCACGGGTTAGTTGGACCAAACACAAACATGGAGCTGTATGGCAGAATGTGTTTGGGCGCATTCTGATTTAGCTCATCAAGTTCCTTCTTTTCCTCGTTCAGCAGTAGACTGTCACCATCAATGTTGTTCACTGTCAAACAAATGATCATTAGAGCAAAGATGAGGAGAGAATGTCACAAGTGTCAATTAAACATTCAATGCTGCCATCTTTTTAGCGGTGCTACATGATTATGTAGATAGTAGATAATACTTAAAGGGATAATGCAATCAAAAATAAATATTCTGTATATACACCATGTATTCTGTAAATATACCATGTATTTACCCTCATGTCACTCAAAACACTTTTTTCCCCTGTGGAACACGAACAGAATAATTCAGCATAATGCCTAGGCTGCTGTTATCTTGAACTTATTTTTTAGGGTTGCATGGAACACTTTTATAGTATTTTTGCATCCACTGGTGGCAGCTTGGACATTCTTCTATAGACATCTCCTTTTGTATTACAAAAAATGTATATATGTAAAATACACTATATATGACTAATTATTTAAAAAAGGCACTAGTCAAATTATTCAATTGATATGTTATTTTTGGCACAATGTGCTCATATTATTCAAGCAGGAGATAAAAAAAATACTTACTGGGAATGACTGTAGTCTCTCCTGGTGGGGCAGTTATGGTGACAGGAATGTTGACTCCGGTTGGGCCCACTCTGGTGCTGTTTTTTAGATTATCTTTGTCTTCT